GGGAGGGGGTTTATTTGGGGGGGGTGCGATGATGAAGGTGATGATGAAGGGGGGCTCCTTCTCCGGGAGATTTGGGGAGGGGTCTCGGGGATTTTTAGGTGAAATCCCACTTTTTTTTGGGGACAATCCCGGGTTTTTGGGGGTTTTTATTTTGGGGAGGGGTCTCAGGGATTTTTAAGGGCAGTCCCAGGGTGGTTTTGGGGAGGGGTCCTGGGGGTGGAAACGTGAGGGGAAAATGGGGGGAAATTGAGGGGAAAAGAGAGGGAAATTGAGGGGAAAATGGGGGAAAAATATGAGGGGAAAATGGAGGGAAAACATGAGGGGAAAATGGGGGAAATGTGAGGGGGAAATGGGGGAAAAATGTGAGGGGAAAATGGGGGAAATGTGAGGGGGAAATGGGGGAAAAATGTGAGGGGGAAAATGGGGGAAAAATGAGTGGAAAATTGGGGAAATGTGAGGGGAAAATTGGGGGAAATGTGAGGGGAAAATGGGAGAAACATGAGGAGAAAATTGTGGAAATGTGAGGGGAAAATGGAGGCAAATGAGAGGGGAAAATGGTGGGCAAAATGTGAGGGGGAAATGGGGGAAATGTGAGGGGAAAATGGGGGAAATGTGAGGGGGGAATTGGGGAAATGTGAGGGGAGAAAAGGGCGGGAAACATGGGGGAAAATGGAGGCAAATGAGAGGGAGAAATGGTGGGGAAAATGGGGGAAATGTGAGGGGAAAATGGTGGGAAAATGGAGGGTAGAAGGAGGAAAATTGATGGGGAAAATGGGGGAAAAGTGAGGGTAAAATGGAGGGAAAACACGAGGGTGAAAAGGGCGGGAAACGTGAGGGGAAAATGGGGGAAATGTGAGGGGAAAATGGGGGAAATGTGAGGGGAAAAGGGAGTGTGAACTGGGTGGGAAATGACCCCACTCTATATTTAGGGTCCCCAGTGCCACCCCCACTTCTTTGGGGGATTTTGGGGACAATTCCTGTGATATTTGGGGTACAAACACTGGGATTTCGGGGATTTTTGGGGTACAAACCCCAGGATTTGGGGGATATTTGGTGTATAAGATGCAGGATTTTGGGGATTTTTGGGGTACAAGCCCCACGATTCCAGTGATATTTGGGGTACAAACCCCAGGATTTCAGTGGTTTTTGGGGTACAAGCCCCAGGATTTTGGGGATATTTGAGGTACAAACCCCAGGATTTTGGGGTACAAACCCTGGGATTTTGGGGATTTTTGGGGTACAAACCCCACGATTCCAGTGATATTTGGGGTACAAACCCCAGGATTTCAGTGTTTTTTGGGGTACAAGCCCCAGGATTTTGGGGATATTTGAGGTACAAACCCCAGGATTTTGGGGTACAAACCCTGGGATTTTGGGGATTTTTGGGGTACAAGCCCCACGATTCCAGTGATATTTGGGGTACAAACCCCAGGATTTTGGGGTACAAACCCTGGGATTTTGGGGATTTTTGGGGTACAAGCCCCAGTATCTCATTGATATTCGCCCCAGGGAGGGGTCCCAGCACCACCCCCCAAAATCTACTCCAAGGGGTCCCCTCAGAGGGGGACAGCCAGGGGGGAAACTCGGGGACCCCCAAGGACCCGGATTTTGGGGGAATTTGGGGATTTTTGGGGCTCCCCAAGGGAACTTGGGGACTCCCGGGGGGGGGTCTTGGGCCCCTCCCCCTTCTCTGTGCAATAAAACCCAACCTTGGAGCGGCCCCCGGGTTTTTTTGGGGGG